CACCCTGGAGGGAACCATAACACCTTAATCCCTCTTGGAAGCCTTCATTGCTCCCAACCCCTTCGGCGGCCTGTCGTCTACCTCCTCTGCTGCAGCCTCCTCTACCTCGGCCGCCTCCACGCCCTCCCCCACGGACTACTACAACCGTTCACCTCTTCCAACCAGTAATCTATCTATGTGTTCTACTTGAAGTTTCCCGAAAAATCAACTTTTGGAAAGTTGATCCATTTTTTTCAAATAAAAGGAACTGAGAAACAATGTGATGAACTCCATCTCGTGAGGAGATTGCAACCACATAATCATGCATGTAGTGTTATTGCACACAATATTCTGTCAACCTCAGCAACAAGTATCCCGAATTAAGACAAAGGGAGGAAAGGAGTAGAGTAGAGGAGGAAGTCTCACTAATAATAAATGAATACAAATGAATGGCTCTTGCAGCCGCTGATGGTCCCACCGCAGCTGTCCCCACAGGTGGGTCCAGCCTCCGTAACGGAGCTCAGCTCCTCCAGTCTTCAGGAGCAAACTGCTGTCTCAACACCTCCAGCAACAACAGGTAAGCCAGGTAAGCCCTCTCTCTCTCTCTCTCTCTCTCTCTCTCTCTCTCTCTCTCTCTCTCTCTCTCTCTCTCTCTCTCTTACCACACAGGTCTCAATTGCCTGATACCTCTCTTCCTCTATACTATAACTATGGCGCTTGGCACCCTACTCTAGCTTTGGCTACTCCCTCTTCTCTCTCCTGCCTGGTACTGTCTTATTCCTATCTGATACCAGCTTCTCCTGCCTCCTCCAGCGCGAAGTGGAGCAGTGGTCCAGACTGCAGTAGCTCAGGGTAGAATGAACGAGCTGACTAGTCTGGCTACTCCCTCTTCTCTCTCCTGCCTGGCACTGTCTTATTCCTATCTGATACCAGCCTCTCCTGCCTCCTCCAGCGCTAAGTGGAGCAGTGGTCCAGACTCCAGTAGCTCAGGGTAGAATGAACGAGCTGACTGGGCCAGGAAACTCTTTTGTAGTTTTGACCAACCTTGGCTTGCCTCAGTTTGCCTCCTCGTGTGGCTAAGATTTCTTGATCCCGATGGCCCAAATTTGCTGTCGGTCAAGGCATGCCTGGACCCATTGGACTTTGGAGACCTCTGGGACAATGCAGACAGCCTTTCATGTACATCATATCTGTGGCTGTGGTTGACTTTTGAGAAATCTCTGACTCTTTGACTGCTTTTGCGGAGTTGGGACTAACTCCTGATTTTCCTGAAGTTAACTACCACTTTCTGGGTGCATGGGTTGCCTTTTTTGACCCTTGACCCTGTATGTGTTGACCAAAGGACTTCTGGGGCAGGAGACATGGCTTTTGACTCCTGAATCTGGCCTTCGACCAAAAGTTACGACCCTGGACTATGTCTGCACCGATTTTAAACGGAGTTCTTTGCATAATGCAGACATCCTTTCATGTACATCATAGTCGCATACCGTAAAGGTGCAGACCAGAACAAGAACCGGCTTCTCTCACATAGTACAAGATAGCGCAGCGGAAGGCTAATACACCAATGATCCGACCGATCAATGTCGCAAGCAGACCAAACATACATCATCATCATTGTATGATGTGAAAGGACTTGGCGCTCACACAGGAAGAATGCGCCAGTCCCAAACATACACAGACGAAGAGGAGGGGGATTAGACGAAGAAGAGGGGAAGATGGGAATGTCGTCAACACCAAGTCTTCGGTACAGGTCCCAAATAATCCCTCGTCCAATGTCTCAATCCCAATGTCAAGTCTGAATCCAAATGTCGTCAAGTCCCAAAGTCACCAATCTCTCTCTCTCTCTCGTAGTCTGCAGATACTGAGAAGTCAGGTAGCGAGAGGGTGAGGGAGAGATGGTGGACTTAGAAGAGGAAGAAGAAGAACTCTCTCTCTCTCTCTCATAGTCTGGTACTAACCTCTGAAGGTGGCGTCTTGTTGCAGGTACATCGAAGACGAAGCTGGAGCTATGGCGCCACAGGTAAGTCTCCCTGGCCTCCGCCATCTCTCTCTCTCTCTCCAACGCTACTCTAGCTCCTACTATCGCCCAGCGCTGAAGACTACTCCTAACACTACTACTACTACTGCAGCGCTCCTCCAGAGTGCTGCTGCCGAATCCTGAAGACTGCCTCCTGCACGTGAAGTGCCCGTGAACTGCCTGGGAAGTCCCTATGAACTACCTTCGGGCCAGTTCTATATAGTGCTGGCACGTCCGGGAGGCTGCTCTTGCCAATGCCGAAACGTGCCAGACCCTGGCGTTGAAGTTCAAACAAAGGTCGTCTTGAAACAGGCCCAAAATTGGCCTGTGCTAAACCCTGGTCTGGGCAGAGGGCCTAAAAATGGCCCTCGTTTTCAGGCTTTTAGGCTGAAACGACACAGGGCCTGTAGGGCCCTTATTTTCCATCTGGTCGGGCCCTGCAGGCCCGGGTGTCTGCACCGATTTTAAACGGAGTTCTTTGCATAGTGAGCATGGAGCCCGAGAATCATAATAAGCTTCCACAATACAATCATGTAAGTAGTCACAATGCACTGAAAGTGGAACCAGTCATATGCTGAATAAGTCAAGAAGCACTCAGTGTAGTCCCAGAATAAGCAGCGAGTCACCAGAAGTGAGACAAAGGTAGAGAAGAAATGGAGAGAGAGGGAGGATACTCTCATTCATAATCAATAATGCAATTGAAACGGCTCTTCCTGCCCCCTTCACCTCCGGTACCTTCTCTGACCAATTGACCACCTTAACATGCAAGGCTTCCCCTCAAGACACTGATGAAGCCGCTCTGCAGGTACCAGCTATGGCATCCAACCTCCAGCATCACTGCTGGCGGCCTCCTGGCGCGACATCAGCTCCAGTATCACCAGCACAACAGGTAAAGCAAGGTAAGCTTGCCCACTCTCTCTCTCCTCGCAGTCCTGATCACCCTCTTCCTTGCCCAACAGCTAAGGTGCACAGTCGCCCTTCTTAGTTATGGCTACTCTCTTCTTCCTGGGCTGGTGCTGCCTCCTTCCTCCTGGCGCCAGCCTCTCTCTCGCGCTCTACCTCGCTCAGCAGCGCTTTGGTCATCAACGCATGCAAGGCAGAATGAATGAGCAGCTTCAGCAAGCAACTCCTTTGTAGAGTTGCCTGGTCGCGGCCTGCCTCCAGTGTACCTCGTCCGACCGTGGAGATTTCTCGATCTGGGGGACCCAGATTTGCTGTCGGCCAAGGTGCACCTGGACCAGTAGGCCCTGGAGCAGAGCAGACAGCCTTTGATTGTGAACCAGATCTGTGGCCTTCGTTGACTCCTGATAAATTTCTTACCCTTGACAAATCTCTTACTCTTCGCCTACTGAGAAATCTCTGACACTTGACCTACTCTACCCGAGTCTGGGCCTGATTTCTGATGTACCTGTAGTCAGCTACCTCACATGGGATACAGGCAGCCTCATTTGACCCGGGACCCGGTACCTGTTGACCCCAGGACTTTTCTCAGACCCTTCCAACACGAGAGAAGTGAGGCGAGTCCTGGCCCGTGTCCCACGTGACATAGTCCCAACCGGTAGGCCCGCACAATAAGCCAGCACGGTAGAAAGTCTTGGAGGTCCACTTCGTTACTCGTCTAAAGGATCCATCTGTCAATCCATGCAGCTCATGTCCCTGGGAAATCCGTGAAAACCTGGATACGGGTGTGGAGACATCCAAACCTGGAAACTGCACCAACTACAAAAGGCCGGTGGCAGTTGAGCATCAACACACTTTCCATTTGTGCCTAGTGCAGAAGCGCTGTTGTGGTCTTGTGCAGCTGAGCAACGAGTGGAACAGAGGTGAGAGTAGTGTAGCTGATGGCGGCCGGCCCCATAGCTGTTAGATAAGAGTGGCTGAGCGAGGGAAAACATTCAGGGAGCAAGCGTGGCCTGTGATGGTAGAGTGAACGGAGAGAGAGAGAGAGAGAGAGAGAGAGAGAGAGAGAGAGAGAGAGAGAGAGAGAGAGAGNAGAGAGAGAGAGAGAGAGAGAGAGAGAGAGAGAGAGAGAGAGAGAGAGAGAGAGAGAGAGAGAGAGAGTTACCTAAGTGTGGATTCAGCAGCCATAGTCGCACGTGTGTACATGCATGAGACTTCTTGTATACGACTTCAACTTTCCCACAATTTCCATGTGTTCTCATCTTCTGTAGTGTGCCGCTCGTGAGTGAAGTTTGAGTGCATGGTGAAGTGTGAAGTCATGATGATATGTGTAAGCCGTGTGTGAACAGTGGCATAATTGCACCGGAGTGCTTTATGGTTTCTAGATTTCTTGTCATCCCGAGAGATTGTGATCATCATTCTGGAGGTGCCTGGCAAATGGAGAGTCATTGGCAGGTCCAGCCACCCAAGAGACAGCCTTCACACGATGGGGATGCTGGGGGAAGGGAGGGACAGCAGGCACAGAATGCATGGGTAAAGCAGGTAAAGCGAATCCTTCTAAAATGACTCTGGTGAGCCGAAAGGAATCACATAGAGTGGAAAGGTAGGCCAGAGGAAGAGAAAGACAGGAGGACACGAAGGAAAGACAGGGAAAAGCGGATGGTAAGAAGTACAGGGCAGGATGGCAACAGCTGTCATCGGAGGGATGTGTGGGAATGGTCAACAAGTGAAGGGAGACATGGGTGGGGAAGGGCAACAGGAGGGAAGGGTGGTGCAAGGGAATGAAGGACACGGTGGGGAACAGGAAATGGGTGGAGAGACAGGGAAGAGGCGAGCCTGAGGGACATGAAGGGAAGGAGGTGATAAGCATGTACCTCAACAATCAGTACCATCCTCCTCCCATGGGGCCAAGGCAAACATCGATGTGAGAGAGCAATGGGATAGCTGAGGGGAGAAGGAGAACAAAGAGACAAGTAGAAGCAATCGCAGATGGAGCAGACAAGGAATGCAGCTGAAGAGGGGAGAATTGAGATTTTAAACCAGAAATGGCTTTTCAGGTTTGGGAAGCAAGCAGAGCTGATAAAAAGAACAGAAATTGACTCACATCTTTCTCTCCTTGCTGGGCTGCATTCAAAGCCTGCCTTTCTACAAGCAGAATGGGAATATTCTGTCTGATTGGCATCTTCATGGTGCGATAGAAATTCAGCACCTCAGTGATCAAGGGCTGGCAAGAAATACCACACAGCCAAGGAGAACTTCAGAAAACAGGCGGTAAAAAACAGTAGCTGAAAATAAAGAAAAATAAAGAATCTCTAATTGGCAGCTAAGCCATCACCAATCCACTCTCAGGAAGGCATCTTGCACAAAGGCGGAAGATCCAACTCAATGATTTTTTTCTCTTCTTTCTCTCCCACCCAATGATCTTGAAGATTATACTTGCTAGGACTTTCTCTGAAGCATTGGATCCATGAAGTGGTCACTTGGCTGAAGAAGCACCCGAAACATAGAACAGGCGGAATGAGCGAAGCAGTAGAGGCCATGTATAAATCCATGGGAGAACGGACACTTGCAGACAGAGACAGCTTGCTTCCACTGAACCAGACAACTACTATCTATAACTGTTTCCCTGCCTCCCCCAACGTATCTGCGACTTCATGAGCATCCGTGGCCTTGTTGTTCGTTGGTAGTTTACTAGTTTGTTGTTCGTGGTGTTTTCAAATTGTCCGCCGGGAAAGTGGGTTAGAGGGAAGGGTTGTTGAGAGGGATTGATTGAAGGGATGATTCAGCTGTGTGCATCGTCCATTGTCTTTTTCATGTGCAGGATGGCATCCGGCAAGGCAACTCGTAACGCAGCTGAAGCAGCCCACCCCTGCAGACAAGAAAAAAGAAGTCCACCCCTGCAGACAGAGAGAAAAAAAAAAAGAAAAAAAGTCATGCGCACCAGGCACACATGCCTGGAGCAGGCGCACAGCCACGCCCCCGACCTGTGCACCGGGGGGCGCACCACGGCGTGCGCACGGATGCCGGTGGTGCGCGCATGTGCACGCGCACCAGGCTTGCGGACATGGTGCGCATCGCACCGCACGGGTGTGCCGCAAGTATGATCACAACGCAAACACAGCAAACACCTATGAGCGATCATTGGCACGATTTCCACTAATACGTGCCGTGTCCAACGAATACTGTCCCCGACATGAACATGGAACAAAATGAACTTGCGAAGACTGACCAGTGAGATGAAGATCCAAGGGCCACAAACGTGAAATAAAACGAAGCTTGGCGTGCAAAAGGATCGCCGACAGCCAGTGAACAATAGAGTATTGAGTAGATGTGCAGATGCGCAGATGTGCAGATCTGTATAAATCGTAAATGAACGAACGAATAGGAATCAATGTCTAAGTCCCCTCAGTGTCAGCACTCAAAGAGCTCGCCTTTAGGCTGCATTCTCTCTCCTCTCCTCAAGGTTACATATCTAGGTATGGCACACACCATCTGTGTCAAGCACAGATGTTAAAGGACAATTCAATCTGTATAGATAGTAAATGAATGAATGAATAGGAATCAATGTCCAAGTAATCCCCTTACTGCCAGCACTCAATGAGCTCTCCTTTAGGCCTCATTCTCTCTCCTCCACTCAAGGTTACATATCTAGGCATGACACGTTTCATCTGTGTCAAGCACAAACATTAACGGACAATGCAACTACCACTGTGCTTTTCCCATCTCATTCCACTATAGCCATGGTCCAGGCTGTATTCCAACAGGGGCCTACCAGATGCAGCAAAAGCAAGGAAGTGGAGATGTAAGTCCACCATACCCTCTCTTGTTGGTTCCCTCCTTCCTCTTCTACCACTACTCTCTTCCTCCACCTGCTTTTGTAGCCTAGCTTGAGGTTCTTGTCACTCTACCTCCATATTGAAAGCCTAGTCCCTTATAGTACTACTACATAGCCATGGGAGTTTTCTTCCTCACCGCTGACTCCTTCAACCCAGAGATCCACCCAACTCTCGCTCAGAGTGGAGATAGCATGCTGGGTGAACACCCAGACTACCCATTGCAGAGGATGATATATCAGTGACTCTCAGCCTCCATCACGTCTACCAAAGCATTCTTAGCCTCTACCTGTGAATATACCAGTGACTCTCAGTCTCCATCACCTCTACCAAAGCATTCTTAGCCTCTACTTGTGCACAAGTTCCCGCCTTTCAGTGAATTGCACCCTGCAATTCACTTCCAGGGCCTGAACCTAACCTGATTTCTACTTACACTCGGCCCTGGACCCTCATCATCTATTAGGAAGCTATCGACCTTCCTAGGCCTACCCAAGTTACTGGAAAATGTTACGCGGACCCTGCCGAATTCTACTTTTGTCCTCGTCCATCGTGGACTTCCTTCTGCATCCGTTCAGCCGCTATATTTATTTACTGTTCTACCCTTCCCTGGACACAGAAAACACAGCACGAGAACAGAATTAGATCATGAGCTAGCAAGCATCACATAGTCATGGACACAGGCAATACAACAAAACACACTCAAGAGTCAGAAAGCTTCAGCAAATCAGACCATTAACAGACAGCACTACTCAGAAACTTCAAGAATCTCAGACCTCAAGCCCCAACCGTGCAGGTCACTGATGCTTCTACATCTCATGAACCACAACCACTTGCATTTAAAGTGAGAGGACGCTAAATTTCGGTGGTGGTTGTGGTGGTCGGGGTGGGGGCAGAGCCCTCTATTTTTCCAGGCATTGGATGAATGATTCTTGAATGCTGAAAGCAGCAACCGCAGGGAGAACTTCAAAGGAAGAGTCTTTCTATATAGGGCATCAATAATAACCACGGCAGTGCAGATCATACCTGAGCATCATTAGTGTCGACAATAACTGTGCCACAGCACTCCAGGCAGAGTTTTCTGCCATCATCAAGGTCAGCGAACTGAGCATCCCGAGCCTGCAATCCACCCACACACAGAACATGTAATATGCTCAGTTGATTTTCCTTTCCTCATACCAACGAGTACATGTCCCTGGAGAACGGACAATGCAACAGCTCTCAGACTATTGAGGATCTGCTCCGGAGAACAGATCTCTGGGGATTCCATTAGGAACTGCACTAAAAATCTGAAAAGCCTAAATGCAACCTAGAGGCAGGTTGGCAGTTATTATCATCTATAGCTATTTGTCTTTTATTAATCCAGTTTCGTCCTTGTTCGGGAATAGCATGTAGCTAGGTAGGAGAAAGGGACACTGGACCCGGTTTCCAGTATGAGCCCAATTTGGGAAATGGCCCGTCTTCCGGGTTGAGATGTGGAGGAATTCCCGGCCTCCTTTTGCTCTATATATAATGAAGCATGTTATTTGTTTAAAAATCTGAAAAGCGCAATTGCAAGTTCCCGTATGACCATTGGAAACCTGTTTCTCTCTCTCTCTCTCTCTCTCTCTCTCTCTCTCTCTCTCTCT